GAAAGCCTTGCTCTTTTACAATCGCTTTCTTTGATCGGATCACTTCCGGTCTGTCATCGCTTACTTTTAATTTAACTTAGTAGGCTAACATCACGAATATTTCATGTTTTCATTCTTACTAAGGAAGGTTGAGTACACTTTATCAACATTTCCTGCCGCGAGGATAAACAATCGTGAGTACCCGTTACTTGTATGCAGATAATCCACAACGGTGTAACTTGTAACCAATATTCAGCACTAAAATGAAAAGAATGTCCATCTGTCACAAGTTTTAACCTCTTTCCACGTTTTTTCCTGCACGCTTCTTAGAGAGACGCGCGGCTACATGCCAGTTTAACTGAGGTGTTCTAGAACGAGTGATCGAACGCACTATGGTGTTTTTTCAGACATCAATTCCGCTGTGTATCACATTGCGATCCAGGTTAGACTTCCACGTGAAACAACAAAAAGTGTTGTGTTCGAACAGTTCGGTCATCTGGTTGTCGATCTTTGGAGCTGGCGTGGGTAGAAGACAAGTCATGTCATTAAAAAGATCGAGTTTCGCGAGGAGGAATGAAGAGAAGCTGGCTTAGGAACGTGGATAGGTGGAGGTCATTTCGTTCACGTCTGTTGCCCATAGAAGTACAAATAACTTAAGTTTGCAGATGCCACGAATGAGGAAGTTTTTACGAGATGCGGTAAACCTGTTAATGTTCATTGTGACAGGCAAGTCGTAATCAGTCCTTGCGGCTCATTAATGTGTTCTCTACATACAGGTGGGTGCGTTTTTGTCTACCAATATTTTCTGAGCTTGAAAACATTTCGCAATTACGTAAGTATTGCTCTCTTCAATTAAGAACTCCAGAGCCTTCGGGGCTGATTCAATTGTTTCTCATCTCTGATTTGCGCTGGGTCCTGGTCAATTATCTGCGGCCAATAGCTTGACTTTTAAATCTTCACCTTGAACTGTTATCCTGAAATGGCAGTCGCTGAAAATTGAAACTCACTAAAATGATTTCAACACGGTGGCTTTTTTTTAATGTTTACTCTGTCAGTGTGCCAAATATCAGTTATAAGATGCTCTTTCCGGGGAAAGGAGGGCAGAGTGAGACGGGGAGGTAGGATAAGTTTGTACGGTCCGAAATTGAAATCAAGTTCTGTAGTTACCTTTTTGGTTAGGTTTTTTTGCTGGATTTTGTTCAGGCCTTAAGAGGGGTGGGAGTCAACAATTTTTATTGTGGTTTGAAACAGATTCATGGGTTCGAGGGTTATGTGTCGAACCACCCTCGGAATTATTGTAGACTTGCCGTCCCCTCTCTTCCCGATGCTCTCTTATGTCTGACCGTTCTGAACCCATGGCGCTACTTTATGAAGTTTCAATCATGAGTTTGTAAGAGTATTTATGTCCATCTAAACCAAATTGACAGATCTAGAAGCTAATAAGAATTTGAACTATTAGCAAACTTACAATCGCCCGAGGTTAAAATATAAGATACATGGAAATCAGAGAGATAATCTTTGGAGGTCATGAAAAGTGTTTTTCTCACTGTAGTATGTAAAAGAAAAAACAGCATAAAAAGGGGAAATCGGATTACATGGGAAAGAAACGTTAAACGCTGATTAAAAAAAAAAAAATGTCAAAGGACTCGAAAACTGACGCCAAAAAAATCACAAAGGAGTATAGAAGTGCAAGATGCCCTTAGCACCTAGCAAGCCATTGCTGAACAACTTGCATATGAAACGATAACCTAGAGAGGCACATGTGTCAAAGACAGTCTCCTTGAGGCAAAATTTTGATGGATTTTTCCTTGCATTCGTAACAGCACCACTGTAGGTCGAGAAAAAGATTTGTCATG